TTGTTCTCGCCCTCCATGTGTGTCTGTGTGCTGGTTAACCTGCCCCTCCCCTCTCTGCCATACACCTGACTTATGGCTGTGCAGTAATAATTTGCCAGGCCTTGGCAGGCTGAGTGTACATTAGCATATAAATAGCAGATGCACTGAGTGCCCATCACACTCGACTACATTTAATTTTTGGTTTATAAGATTGAATGGGTTTTTAAACGCAGCGCCATCAAACTTGCCAAGAGACAAATGAAGTCAGGGGAGCAGTTGTCCGAGGCGGCGCCCTCACATCATTTTTATAAAGGATAAGAGTCTTACTTAAGAGAGAGGAGGGGGAGGACAGAGGGTGAGACGGCGTAGAAGCTGAATAAGCAGCACACCTGTGGATGCAGGGACACACTTTAGTTTCTAGTTGCACCTTTCCCCCCACAGCTGTGGGTCTGAGGCAGGCACTGTGTGCACATCTTAACATCAAAATGCATTTGCTGTAACAAGCTTCACTCTAAAGTGTGTCGGGATTTCCTGCCAGACATGAGAGAGCTGATGTTAGGTGACCTGACTCACAGTCACTGTCCAGTTATCGGTTACTTGAACCCCGGATGGAGTTTAGCTCAGGACTTTGTCTCCATCTCTGTGTTTGCGGTTCAAATTACTTGTTGTTTATTTTATACAGCGTCTTGGTGCAGCCCCTCCCAGCTAGAAGTGCCCGTGTCAGGGGTGTCCCTTATGACATTGCATAGATCCAATAGTAGAAAACTTCATAGAGCTCCATACGCTGACCTCATTGGTCAGTTTGACTTTTAACTGGAGGTGCTGATGGTGTCGTGTCAGCTGTGATGCCAGTGACACCACACGTCCTCCTCATCCTGGTGTCAGAGTAGTGTCCAGTGCTGCCTCGCAGCATTGCATCTGTCTCTGCTGTTACTCGAATACGTTAGAGAGAAAACCCTAAATTCTCGTACTTTGACGCGCTATTATTTTGTGGCGTTTTGATAGATTGTGTTATAGATTTTATTTTTTAGGAAAAAAAATGACAGTTTGGTAGAAAGAACAGAGTTTTTGGGGATGAGTTCAGTAGGTAGTCGCCATTGCAAACCCACAGTTGCTTTATTGCCCAAATAATGTATGGTCTCAACTTTAGCAGCCAATTTCAACAGATCTCTTTTTATTTGCTTGTTAAAGGAATGCTTATTTTTCATCCTCGCCCGTTTCTCTGCTTTATTTTATTTGCCAGTAAACATTGCCATTACAGTAACACATAGCCCTGCTTTACTTAAACAACTTTTTATTTATTCTGCTCTGTTCCGGAGCTATTTTTATTTCTATCTGGGCCTGTTTTTAATGTGAAAGTTACCAATATTTGTTTTGTCCTTTTCCTATTACAGTGACGCATGGCTCCGCTTTACTTAAACTATCACTTCTAATTTGTCTGCTAGATCTAGAGTTTCAGTTAAAGAAGCAGTTTTTATCTCCCGTGGGGAACTCTGTGTTACCGTGTGTGTGTGTGTGTGTGTGTGTGTCCCAGGGAATAAACCAAAGCTCTGTTAAAATGCAAAGCAGCCCCCCGTGCAGCCATGTGGGGGAATAGAAGCCATATTTTAAGTGCTCTGCCCGTCAGCAAAATGTTTCTGGGGGAAAGCTAATTCTACTGTGAGACTTACAGCTCTGCCAGGCCGGCCGACAGGACTCGATGCTATCAGGATTAAATTAAGGTGAATTAGAGACAAAGAGGCAGAAAGAGGGGGAAAAAGGATGATGTTAGGGCAGGATTTTCGTCCAGCTGGGTGATCACTTCTTAGTCTTAGGTCATTGATCAGAACAGAATAAACCAGCCGGGATTAAAGTAGACAAGCAAAAAACCTATAGAGACTACATCTGTGTGTATATGTGTGTGTGCATCTGCTGTGTGCGGAGCCGCCGTCCTCCGAGGATGAATAAGGATAGCAGCAGAGTGGATAACAGAGAAAGTTTGGGGTTTGTACTCCTGTGTTTAGCGGTATTCTTTCAGCTTTTTCAAATAATAAAAACTTCAGTCAAGTATCAGGATCTCAGACTTTATGTTCACTCTGTGCAAAATCTTTGAAGAAACGAATATTTGTATTAATAACACCTAAGCTGGGAAATGTACATGAACTGCAGCGTCTGCGGGGTTTGGGCCTGGGTTTGCTTCTTCCTCGTTTCCTGTCCAGAAAAGGCTCGTATTATTGTCTTTATCTTACAATATAAGGCACTTTGTTGTTGTGATTTGGTGCTATATAAATAAAAATGAAGTGAAAATTGACTAAAGGAAGAAAACCCCACAAAAAACCCCAAACCCTGCAGTTCCTCTAATCAGCTGGCTCCAAAAGTGAGTTGGTTCCCACAGACTCCCATCTTATCGTGGCTGGTTTTATCTGAAAATGTTTAGAGCCTGCTGCAATTGGATTTATGACATGATAAATAACAAAAGGTGAGTGAATGAATTATTTTACGAGCCTGCCAATCAGAGCATGACGCTTTGATCGACAGGTACGCTGACACACACACGGTGTGCGGACCTCACTTTGGCAACTTAAATGACTGAACTGTAGTTTGTATTTATATGTTAATTAGCACTTATTAGCAGGTATCTGTGTGATCCACCAACAACACATACTGATGCAGCACGGCGCGGTTAAAATGCCAGCGGTAAGGGTTGCTGTCACAGTGCCTCAGGATCCTGTAAATATCAGTAACAGTCAGTAAACAAAGAAAATACAATGAATGAATCGACGGTTTGCACGGTGGCTACAATAAACACAGCAGCTAGTTATTTTGGTTAAGGGTTAGCGAGTTAGTCATTTCACTCAGATGACTTCATGTCAGTGTTTCTAATTTTAAAAGTCTTTAACTGCTGCAAAACTCGAGCCTTTCTCTATTAAGTCTTATTGAAATGCACCCAATTGTTGTCTGTGAAGGTTCTCAGTCATCCAGGTCATCGTAGTCGAAGGAGCTTGGAAAGAAAAGCGTCTGGATTTCTTTAAGTTGCTTGAAGACGTTTCACCTCTCATCCGAGAAGCTTCTTCAGTTCTGAGGTCAAATGGTGAAAAGTCCCAGATATAAACCCAGTGGGAGTTTCCCCCCACAGAGGGACAAAAGGACCCCTGATGATCCTCTAATCGCCTGAGCCAAGGTGTGAAACTGGGTGTGGGTCCCAATCAGCCAGAGTTTCGGGTGAGTTCATTGTGAAACCTGGCTCCACCTTATCATGTGAATTCCTGAGGTCAGATGGCCCAGGATGTGAGTGGGCGTTAAGGCGTCTGGGAAGGGATCTCAAAACTGGATTATAGATGGCAGAGAGTTGGTGTCGTAAACCCCGCCTCTGTTCAAAGATGGTCGCTCACAGTGGACATAGATGCTTCTTTCACTCTTCTTTCAAACCATCTGTCCTCTCTGTCCAAAATGTGAACATTGGCATCCTCAAAAGAGTGTCCTTAAAGAGTGTCCTTAAAGAGTGTCCTGAAGAAGCTTCTCGGATGAGAGGTGAAACGTCTTCAAGCAACTTAAAAAAGTCCAGACGCTTTTCTTTGCGAGCTCCTTTGAGTACCCAATTGTAGAGTCTACCTTACAATATAAAGCGCCTCGAGGTGACTGTATGAATAAAATTGAATTGAAATTGAAGTAATTTAATGCATATTTATTCTAGAGGTTTTAATCCACTTGTACAGTATTTGTTCACATGTCATAAACGAGGTCTAATTTCTCTCTGATTCAAACCTTCTTCCACAATACGTCAGCCTTTGTAGCTGCATTAATGAGAGGTAATTAGGCTTTAATTGTTTAGTTGCTTGTTAACTGAATGTTGAGTATTGTAATATGAAGTGTTTTAATTGGTCTCTGCGTAGTGGATCAGAGGTGTGTATCCAGCTTTGTGACACGGTTAACTGAGTCTGTCCTGTGGTTGAGCTGTAAATGTGTGCGTGTATATATGTTGGGGGGAGGGACATGTGGGTAATTATTCAGGGACTCATTATTGGTAAACCAATTCTAACATTTTAATGGGCTTTATCAGCAGTAACGCAGCAGCCTTCTATCGCTCTCACACACACAATCGGGTATTACACTCTAATGAAAAAGAGGCGTTTGGGAATTAGAGGTTAGTTTAACGTTAGCTTTTACTGCTCCTCATAACACTAATCATTGTGATTATTATACTGCCAGACGTGCGACTCTGTGTGTGTGGCTCCTCAGCTGTTAAAAGCATAGGGCCACCGCACACAAATGCATGCACGCACACGGATTTGTGTTATGGAAATGAGCCTGTGTGTGTGTTGTGTTCTGCATTGTAGCCCAGCCAATGGCTAACAAGCTCACCAGGAAATTAAAAACCATAAATTTAGCTTACTACTGATAGAAGCTCATCACAGACACACACACATTGCCATCCCTCTCCCCTTAGCTAATAAGAAAACCAGAGTGATCTGCAGGAGAGTCGCACGAATTGTATATGCTGCCATCTAGTGGTGCAGCCATTACAGCGGTATTCGGGTGCAGCGACAGAGTAGTGCGCTGTTAGATTGATTGTGGTTATGCAGTATGTGAAAAAATTCATGGCTCATTTTTGTCATTAAACAATTAAAATAAAGATTCAAGTTAAGGCTGATAGAAGGCAGCTTGCACCCCATGGTTCAATAGTTCATCGAACCACCTTAAGTAACTTGAAATGATTAATTTCTGCATGACATTTAGTCTTTCCCAGGACAATGTTGGCTCAATCTTCTTTACAGCGCTGTTTCTGTTTGTTGAGGTTTGCGTGCGTTTGTTGTTGTGGATTAGCAGCGTCTGGCTTCTACTTGCCTTCTTGATTCATGTTTTTCCACAGGACATCTTCTTTTACGTGACTGCATCTACAACATTAGATTAGATGTGTGGAGTTTCCTGCAGCTGCTTTAACTGGATGCTTAAACATAAAAGGACATACTTTTAATGAAATGAAGCAGCTGTTTTTTCACACTCAAAACTATGAAAAAGCTAACGATTCTCCCCTTCCTCAGATGAAGGTCTCTTCAGACGGAGAGGAGGAGGAGGACGACGACGATGATTTTGATGAAGTTCCAGAGAAAGAAGGTTATGAGCCACACATTCCAGAGCATCTGCGAGCCGAGTACGGTGAGTTTATGTACACAAACACACATGCATGTGCACTTCAAATCTACGGACACGTGCACAAACAGTGAGGTTAAGCTACAAAGCTGCTGTCCTGATCTCCTGAGATCCACACACGTACTCTACAAATAAACGATCGCACTTTAAAGTACTGGCCTTCGGCAGCTGGTAAAACGCAGGTAATGTGCTTCTTAAGTGGATTTATGTGCGTGTGCCCACAAACGTTTCTGCACAATACAAAGGAAAAGCAGCCAACACGATGAAGTATTTCGATATCATTAGTCCAGATTGTATCTTTAATGAGGAAACATTCATGATAGTTTGTCCATAACAAGCCCTTATTCTGAAATTTAATTCATCATTAATATTGTCCCAAAACTGGTCGTTTTGTTTTTACTTTGTTTGACTTCCTTTAAAAAATATATTCAAAAGCTTCAGAGGACGTCTGCTTTCAGTTTTCATTTAAGTGTGTTTAATAAAACTTTTGCCTTGACTATTTTCTACTGATTCTCAGACAGTAGGCTGTCTCCTGGACAGTA